CCCAAACAACCCTTGCTTTCTTGTAATAAATTCCAGTGATTTGGAAGAAATGTAGAACATGGCTTTCAGCATTTTCGGTTGCTCGTGATCAACTATTACACGCTTCAAAACAGAATCCACCAGTTGCCATACCCTTCAAAAGTCCCAAAATGTTCCGCACAAGAAATTATCATGAGAACCATGGTTATTGCAGAAATTGACATGCAGCATTTCTGTAGGAGGAGAGCAAGAAGTTTGTCTGACGTCACAATCGTTTCGTTTAAACCCAGCGTATTGCAAAGATACGCTCGTAGATGAAGGCGGAGCTTTGTTAAGCAGCACCAGGAACGTTGATGGTGCAGGATACGAAATGCCTGCGTGACGTTACAAAATTGCCGAGCATGAATGGCTGTGACCAATTGAGTCTAATAGTTTGAGGCGGGGCTACGGTTTCTCGTTCCTCTTGCAGAAATTGATCAGCGGCGTTTCAATGGGACATAACTGAGAAGATTGCATTACGTCACAGTTTGCTGGAAAGGGGCAATTTATTCACCAACGTGACTCGTACTGCAGAAATGTAATAAAAAATAAAAAGCCTTTAGTCGCCAAAATATCAAATACCTCAGTCCCTTGCTTTGGTGATCCGAATAATTCATTTCGTATATTCCATATTCAATTTATTACCCATTATTCTTGCCTCAGCGAGACCTGCCCTTCCTTAATTCAATTCTTGTTGCTCCGCCACGCGCTGCCCGTGCAACCGTCGCCCCGCAGCTAGTGACCGGCCTCTTGCACAACGGCCAGTTGCTCCGCACAAAGCAGGCACCTCATAAAAAACTGCCAGAGTATAACTACGCCGCACGGCCCGCAGGCCAACGATCGATTGCAACTGTTCAAGCTAAGTGTTTATGTTAGAGTTCCAAATATTTGTATGGTGCTAAGGTCATATAAATTCAAGAAAATATGAAAGAGTGGCCTTTATAAATGGACTGGCGATTGCTAACTAGATTTTATTTAGGTTAAGAAGCGATATTAATTGAGATATTAATACCGCTTCTCATCATTATATTTAGAGGATATAACACAAAAGTGTTACTGGAGTAATATTTTTAATTTTTGGTCAATTTGGATCAGACAAAAACTATTTTGTACAATCAAGAGTTTATACATTTCTAAAACAAGATGAATTGAGAGCGATGTGAATATCCACCAATTGTGTAGTTCCGTTACTCATTCAAGATTCCAAACCTCAGGTACGGTACCCACACTCTCGTCCAAGTCCAAGTACGGTAACCACACTCTCGTCCAAGCCCAGTAAATTTTATGTCACTTGAAAGATTTCTTGTTCTTCAGGTTTGGCTTGAAGCTGACCATAAATGTTACAAGTCCTTGAGAAGGACAAATTAATTCAGTTACACCAAATTTTTGCACAATATCGTTATACTATTTTGTTGATATGGCAACAACTGCAACTACTCTACAAATGTGAATCAGTTCAGGTAATAACGAATTTGTAGGTTTAGAATATTTAGCAAAGAAACCTAGGGTAACTAGCATATGAATTGCGCCACAAAATTCCTTGGCCATTGTTCGGAGCTGTCCTCTGAGGTTCAATGCGGCGCCATTTTTGATGATGGTAAAATGAATTTGAATTTACGTTCAATTCAAAGCTAAAGCAATTGATACAAAATCGATATTTGACGGATTCAAGTGTGAATGTCCTAAAATATACGATAATTGTTTAAACGCGCTAGATCATTCGATCAAGTCCTGCGCGATGGCATCATGCTATGGTGGATCAACCTCTCCCCGGCCATGACATGAGCATTGAGCACATCGCAGCTCATGTACTTTCCAGAAAGGCTTCAGCGCTTGCTATGGTTCATCACAAATTGTCTTACCGCAACGAAGCTCAGCAAGAACAAAATCGAATTTTTCTTTAATTTTTCGCATATAAAAACACGGAATGGAATTTGAAACACTTACCTCAGTTTCAGTGGAACACCCTAAATAGAAACTAAATTTACCTACGGCAATTCATTATAGCATACTCTAGTAACCATCAGAACAGTTTGCTCCAGAGAATGAAATTCAGTTCGATTCACTAGTTTATTGGTGAGAATAATAAGCAGGCTTCCCGTGCGAAAAATTACAGAGATAGAACACACTTCCCATAGTCATCATAAGTCACGGTAGGGTTCCTCCTCTTACAGGGATCGATTTCTGGGGCAAGGATAGAGAGCCTCAACTGAGTGTCATTTGTGTAAGAGGTCAAGCCACGAGACAAAGCGAACGCCCTGCGTAACTGAGCAGCGGAAGGTGTGCATGAGATCAGGCTGCTGTGGCTCTTATCATGGTCTCTTATCAGGAGGCTCTCTTGTCATAGTCTCACCACCGACCAATATATACTATACCTAAACATGGTTTCTAGCTGAGAGAGCTTGTTTTTTGATCTGAGATTGAATGACAAAGCAGAAAACGCTCTAAAAATAGTTTTCAACACAAATTGGATGGTCTTCGAAAAGTCGTATCTTTCCGCTGCCATCGACGTGCAGATGAGAATCAAAGGAAGTTGTTCATATGATCATAAACTAGCACAAGTCATTACTGAAGCAGATGTGAAGGGAATAGGATCAAAATAATCCCCATCAAAATAGCTCCAGCCATGAAAACAACAAGGTTAAGGTAAATACTAGAACAGAACAGTACAGTTTCCTATTTTAAAGCTATGTTGACTCTTTGAAAGCATCACATAGCTCATTTATGAAAGCATCCGAGGATATTAGAAAAATAACAATACTTGTCTTGAACAGTTTCCCCCAATAGATAATACTGAAAACATTCATGTACGGTACGACCCTCAACTTAAATCAAACGAGAGATAATCGTGAGAAATATGCGCAAAATAAATGCATCTATAATTTAGAGACAAGCAAATAATAGATGTAAGACTGGCAAGCATCTATCACAACTAATACTGTCTATTTTGTGTCCAATTCTTCTCATTTAATTTAATTCATAATGATGTTGGTACTTGAAAATAAAAATAAGCTAAGTCAAATGGTCAAATAAAAATTAGCAAAATGAAATCTAAATATGTAAGACACTAATACTAAATCTCTCCCCAGACGACATCAAACCGCTCCGCTTTGAATTTATATATTTCCTATTTAAAAGCTACATCTAAACCGGCCACAGGCCTTCTATTTGTTCTAAATTCATATAACCACACGAATGATTAGCAGTTTCAATAACCGAGTAGCAGTATCACGCTACTTAAAATATTTACACTTCTCATAAAATAAGAGTCAGCCTTATATAAGAACATTACAGTATTTAGAAGATTACCGATGGAATTCACAATAGAGAATATAAATAATGGACCAACGCATGCCAGTATATGGTCAACATTTCTGCGTACGAGCTCTTAATTGTTACACGCGTACACACTGTTTAAGTATGATTATTATTATCATTATTAATATTATTATTATAATCATAATCAAGGAAACATGCAAGAACTGATACAAATGTCTTATCCTAAAGTGCACAACTGTCTAAATTTCTGGAGAAAAAAATCCTTCTCATCTGAAATGATGGAAAACAATACTCAGCTTAGTCAGCTATGAACATAAATTTCGTACACAAATTTTAACTATTTCTCTATCCTGAATAAATAAAATTTGATTCTCAAACTGAACTTTACGCACATGAAAGTTAATCCAAGTCACAGCGCACAATTCGTTGGCCGTCCTCACAACCTCAGGCACCATATATATCATTACATTATGAATAAATCATTCTCTCCGCATATCTGCGCATTAACCAATAAAAACAAAGCGTCATATGCGAATCATTTATGATCACACGAAGCCTACAATACATCTATGATCTCTAATAAAATATGAAGATGTAATACTTACTAAAGACATGGAAATGTTGGGCAACAACGCGGAATTCGTCGGGGTATTTTAGTCTAAATGTCAAAAATAAGGGTTCTAGAAAACAATGAAGTAATGCATACACCAATCTGAGATATATTATGAAAGTAGCATGGTATTGAAATAACTAGAATAAAAGAAAAATATATATGTGCAAGCAAACAATCCTATGCATAGGAAAGAAATCACAGGTGCTTCAGCAATTAAGGCAGCGACCTCTGCACTGAACGGATCGTTGATAGCCACAGTTCATGTTATGAAGGATGCGTTCAAAACCCTCTCTGCAATTATTTACCTCATTTTTAAAATCAGATCGACTTGTAAAATTATACTCACAAAAAGCTACGTAAAAACGATCCATCGTGTCTACAAATACAGCGAGCGCGGTTGTTGCTATCATTAAATTGCTTAGCGTATCGCATTATTTCAAAAAACAAGGACCTTGGGATGCACCGAATAATATAATAACAGAACAGAGTTCAGAAAATAAACAGAAGGAGAACGGGCTGGACGGAGCAGCCGACTCGTCGTAATATTAAGCAAGACTCAGCAAGAATCATATGCTTCCATGAAAATGAACAAAATACTAACCTGCCTTCAAACATTTAACCGGTCCTTACTTCGTACTTTAATTTAATGCATCAAGACATTGAATCTAGAAGTAAAAACTTTCTAGAGTTTGATCCTGCTAATGAACGATAAAATTTATACTCGGTCAACATATAATGAAGATGAACTCAGTCAATACGACTTCAATTCAATAGACTACCTCTCAGACAAATAATTCTAGGGAAAGTATAACGTCAAACGAGTCTTGTTTAGTAGAACGAATACGTCAACAAATTTCATAAATCTTTGCTCGGAGTGGATTTCTTTTTCTGTGATTTATCATAATGAGGGTTGTCAATAAAAAGACCGGGAATTGTAGGATGAGGGAGTTGCTTCGACATCCTGTCGATGTGCTGTTCATGAACAATGTCTTCACTTGCGTCGTCATGGGCGGCGTCCACAGAGAAGCGTCGAAAAGGCCATGCTTGTTCATAAACATATAGGGACTTGTTTGTAGCGATAGCATGAGATTTACGAGGTTTTGGTATGGGTCCAGGGGAAGTGGAACTGCAGGATTCTGACACCGCCGAACGGGCTCGAGGCGACGGCAGAAGAGGCTGCCTCGTGGAGGACGAAATAGGTTCCGTTTTTGACACGGTTGATGCTCGCGAGGAACTCGCAGAAATATCGAGAGGAAGAGATACGTCTCTCACTGATGCCCCAGGAGTCCGGTTAAAATACTCATAGCTGCTTAGCGATGAAGAAGTAGAAGATGTTGGAAAACCATCGGAGGCAAAAGCTGTACCAAAAAACTTCGTTAATGATTCCGAGGTGGCATTTGAAGAACCAAAGGTTGAGGTGGAAGAATTAAAAGTGGCAGTTGAGGAGGGAGTAGTGTCAGCGAAAGAGCCGGAAATTAAGGATGAAAAACTAAAGGTATCAGCTGGAGCAGCAGAATTTTCTCTTGCTGAACCAACGCTGGTGGTTGTGAAACCATTAGTAGCAGCTTGACGCCTAAGACGCCTAGCGACGACTCAGACCGAACAACATGTAAATTTGCTGAAGAAGAGGCAGGCAGCGAAGGCACAAAGCTGTACATATCCCCAGCCGCTCGTAGCGCCTCCACTGACACCGGCGTCGAAGCAGTGCTGGGCTTGAACGGGATCAAGTGCTGGACAACAGGCATAGGCAATGCCTGGTACTGAAAAATCGGGTAGCCAAGGAAATTCTGCTGATTGACCTGATTGACTGCATTATAGTGTTTATTCGGATAATAGAGGGGCTGGGGCGCGTTAGACCGCACCATTTGCATCTGTTGCTGATAGAAGAAATGTTCGTGCATTTGCTGCAATTGTTGTTGACGTAAGAATTGCTGCATCTGATATTGCTGTAGTTCTTGATAACCCTGGTTTTGCTGAAGCAACACACGCACGGCATTCAGTTCACTAGTAACTTGTTCCAGCTTTTGCTGAACATCTTTTAGATCTGCAACATTAGCGTGGTTCTCAGGATCATGGCATGGAACAGAAGACTCTGTATTCGAGGTTGCGTTTTCACTATTTCCCGTGTCTTTTTTAATGGAGGGAACATTAAGAGTCGCCGTTGCAGTATGGGCAGATGATGACACAGGTATAGACGCATCAGCAGCTGTAGGAGTCACATAACGGCAAGTATTGGCAGCCGCAGAGTCTCTCAAATATGAACAAGATGAAGATTTCACATCGATGCCGTGGCAAAAAGAGGCAGCCGAACTTCCAGAGAGAGAGCTGACACCAGCCGAATAATCAGTGTCAGGCGCTGAGGAACCAACGGGCAGATGAATATTGTAACGAGGTAACGACGGTGCCAAAACACGAGCTGCAGTTGAGGACATGTAATTCATATTGACGTACGGCGCTCCGTATAATGTAGATCTAGGATCAAGCTCGACAGAGTTCAATAGTGGCCCGTAGGCAGCGCCGCGGGGCACGTGATATTTTTGTATGGAGGAGAAAGGCATCACGAGAGCTCCATGAGAAAGTTGATCAAAGTGCGGAGTTGCTTGCCTCAGTTCCTCGGCGTTCTTGGCACGAATTGTCACGCAAATTTTACCCTCGTCGACTGAAGGCCCCGAAGCTTGAGAACAAGCCACAAAATTTGATTTTGAAACGAGACTCTGAGCACCGGAAACGTCACTCGAGGAAGGTTGATCCTTGTTTTGCGGGCAGGACTCAGATTCATTGAGTGAAGTTTCGTTCACGAAAGTGTTTTCGCTTCCTTTATCGTCACAGGATTTCCGACTTGAAGTACCATTTCCACAAGAAGAAGGAATCACACACTCTGAGGTTGGAGTAGTTGATTGAAGGATGGAATTCTGATCTCGAGTAGTTTTGATTCCGTCAGCGACACTACCAACAAGAACTTGCGTTTCATCAACAGAATTGCCAACAGTCGGCGATGAGTCAATAACTTCAGCAGTCGAATTCAATTCTGGAGCATCAGAAGCATTTACGGTTTCATCACTTGGTTTCAGAGGGAACGAAGTATGGCTTCGTTTAGTCTCCGCACCCGCCGAGGAAACTTGGCGATCTGCAAAAAAGAATCCGGTCAACATGGCATAAAATCAAACAAAAATTCCCAAATAATACAAGACTTCATTTAAATCATCGAATGAACTAATACCAGAAGCAAGAACTTTAAATTGTTAAATGGTTCTATCACCAGGAGAGGTTCATTAATTTATCGAAACGAATGAAATGATGCACGTAAGATCGATGATACCATGTTCCGCACTCAAATGTGTTGCTCCATATCGAGATGAATATTAATCATCATAATATAATGCACGTAAGATTAGGGAACCATGTTCCGTACTCAAATGTATTGCTCCATATCAAGATGAATATTACTGAGCACTCATGATTTGGCTCGTGCTACTCCTATATATAGTGAGGTTTGCTCAGCGAAGCGACTCGGAAAGAACCACGCCGTCTGAATTAAAAAATACCGTTCTCATAAATAAAAACCAATAACAACTAATCGTTGTTATAATTTAAATCTTAACGGGAAAAGTGAATTATTAGAACGTAAAAATTCTATCTTCGTTATTGTAACATTATTATTCACAGCTGTAGAATATAAATATCTGCCATGCAACAATTTGAAAACATCATAGAGAAATTCTATCAAGTCGAAATATTTGGAGACTTAAATAACTAATTGAGTGAATAAAACTGCTTCTTCCTCATAATTTTTGAAGTTCAAAGAGGATACGTATGGTAATAGGTGACAGCGTGCTAAATTATATGATGATAAATGAGATGATGACCGTCCAAGCCCATATTATGTAGTGTTGCAACATGTGTTGCATATAACATTTAACATGTATTTAACTAGTAGCGCAACGTATTTATTTCTAAAAACACAATTTATAAAAACATTTTTGGCATCAATAGGTAGGTTCACGACGACCAAACAGCGCTGCTAGAACCTGACTAAATAGCGATGCTGTAAAAACAGTTGGCTTAGCAACAGACCTAGACCCGTTCCCAGGGAGAGCCTGTTCCTTCTCTTGGCCGACGCTCGTCAATAGACTGGGCCCGTCATCTCAATTGTTGCAGTAGCTTTTACTGCAATCAGATGTTATTTTGATACTAACATTTGTTATATTAAATGCAACGAACACTTTTTTGCTTCCACTTAGGACTAATCTTAACCGTGATCCTATAAAACTGGTTACGCAGAATTTCAGCAACAACAATTCGTTAATCATCGCGAACCTATACGAGTATCCATAAATACATACGAAGCTGACCCACGATGANCTGCGGACGCCTTGAGAGTTGGGTGATAAGCTTTAGTAGCTCTAGTCATCGTATCTGAGCGAGGTGCACTAAGAACGCTTCATAATAACGAATCGAATTGAGGTAATGTCAGCCAGGCCGCTCCATGTGAAGGTACGAGGTTTTTAAAGTGTGGTTTACGACAAAGTAGTGTATACAAGCCCAACATCTGCGCAGGTTTTCTCTAACGATCAAGAAAAAACAACAAAATGGACAAGACGATCACTGAAGGAGCGGAGTCACTCAAAGAGGAGCCAGGTGAATGCATTTATTTGATTAATGATAATCGAAGCCTCTATTTTTCCCAGTATTATAATCTAATAAAATTTAAATCAAATGGCGAAGACACGGTAACATCACGCAGAAAAAATTGGTAACTGAATTATTAAATAACGAAGTGAAAGTCAAGATCATCACAATTGGGTCAGAAATGCTTCATCGCAATAACACTTTCCCATAAATTTGTTGTTTTTTGCGGGTACAGAAATAAAGCAATTTAACCCGGGCACAAGTTCATCCAATTCGTCTACTATTCGAATTGAATATTGTCCTATATAAAGATCCTCATTCGTTTCATTTCATTTATACGATTACTTGATTACGGATAGGCCCTGGTAAGGTAAATTATATTAAATACTTAGTAATTTCGTGCTTGCAGTGGACGGCAGGCTGGTATGCGTGCACGACTTCGAGACGGCGGCGGCCGCTAGACTGCCGCTCATGGCCCTCGACTTCTATAGAACTGGAGCGACTTCACAGGTCACGCTCGTCGAGAACCGCCGTGCCATGAGAAGGTATTATCACTTGACTAGAGTGAGAATAAGTGACACTAGGGTTTCTTTGAGTACTGAAAACCATGACCACAATAGTGTAGGTCCAATGAGAAGGTACCAATTAGGCTAAGTAAGCCGAATTCTATAACACATATAATTTATATACAAGACATCGTAACCGCAGTGCCATGAGAAGAATGTATATTAGTATTATCAATATACTTATTTCACAAAATTGTGAACATTAAACGTGCGATCAAACATAGAAACTCAATATGTCGTATACAATATCAATAATTATTGTGAACGGGTAACAACCTAACTAGTACATGCGAGTTAGGAACCTCACAAAAAATCCGTAACTAGATACTCTTTGTTTCAAAAACCCCTTCACACCAACACTTCCCAGCAGAAATACATTAGAACAAATTTAGCCCTTTAATCCGAAAGCGGATTACAAATTTGAACACAAACCCTACTTCGTGGCACACGCTGTTTTCCCGAACTTGTCAGTACCGCTCAAACTGCACCATAAGAACCTCTCTCGGCCGTCTTTGAGATTCATAATATGAAAAAAATTGCCATTATTGTAATATGAAACATCCGATCGCAAAGCTTAAACACAAAAATGAACAAGGTTTCTTAATATATTTAAAAATATATATATATTGCAAGCGAAAGAATCCAAAAATAGAGAATCTTCGTTAATTAAATACCGATTTCTTGTCAACAATTTATATGACTTAGATTCATGCCCATGAATGAACGTACAAAAATGAGACTCTCCTTGCAGATGGTACATCCTACCCCGCCTGCTGCGCGACGTGTCTACCCGCAGCCTCGGCACAAGCGTCTTCGGGCACTCGCTGCGGCTCCCAATAGCAATTGCGCCCACAGCCTTTCAGAAGATGGCTCATCCTATGGGCGAGTGCGCTTCAGCGTCAGGTGTGTCATCAACCAGTCCTTCATTAGACAAGTAAGAAGCGTGTCTCGAGACGACGATGAGACATTATTTGGCGACAGCTGGGAACTAGCACAAAAATTTTACTCGTTCATTTAGTTATGAATCTAAAAATAAAATATTAAATGGTGTTTTCAAGAAAATTATCAGAGAGAAAATTACTACCAAAACAGTTGACTGAAGTCATTTTACGCCCATAGCGGCAGGGCGCCACGGAACAGTGTTCACGCTGAGCACCGTAGCTACGAGCAGTATTGAAGAAGTCGCTCGCAGTGCGCCTAACACAATCAAGTTTTTCCAACTCTACATATACAAAGACAGGTACGAGTATGTCTAAGAATGTTCAAAAGTTAATTCTACATAATTCGAAACTCTAAATAAGTAACCGTTGAAAGAAATTTTTCTCTTTCAAAAGTCAACAACTAAAAGTCCTTTCTTTGTCATAGCTAATAGATATATTATAAATTCATTGCCCGTGAAAGTAGTACAAGATATGCACTTCCGATAACGGCAAGTTTAACAGTACTTCACCAAAAATATCCATAATCTCGATCGTGACCTACCTCCTTGCGTGTTTTGTCAAGAGGTAATATTTGGACGCACCAAAAGTATTACTGTTCTCTTGGTGTCAGGTCACTGACAGAGAAGCTGGTGAGGCGGGCGGAGGAAGCAGGCTTCAGGGCGGTCGTTCTTACAGTAGATTCTGCTACTGTTGGCATCAGAAGAGCTGACATTCGCAATGGCTTCACACTGCCACCTCACCTCAAGTACGTGGTACTCGATCATTCACGAACGCTTGAGTTCAGAAATGATAATGCTCCATCTTAAGTATTTCTTAAAGAAGGTTTAACTGGATCTTAGTAACATATCTTAAAATCCAGTCCCATACCTCAACAGAAGAATAAATATCTTTTAACATGCTATCAATTCATTGCCAACATCTTTCGGCAGACGCCACCTTTCTCAATTCCTACTCCACCTAGGTTAGCCAACCTTGACAGCACTTCCGACAAAGGAACTCTCAGTGACCGAGGAAACGGAGGCTCCAGCATTAACGAGTATGCCAAGAATAACTTCGTTGAAGGAATTACGAGGAAAGACTTGGCTTGGCTCATCAGGTGAGAAGTAGCGCCGACATAAAAATATAATTTTCCAGCAGAGTCCCATTAGATATGTGTTTTTTTCAACTTTCATCCATAAAGATATATATCGATGGTTACTTGCGTTTGTCCAAAGTAAAGAAAGGTACAAGAAAACCCCATTTTTACAAATTTAAACTACAGAGCTCGCACGCTGTGTTCTGTATCCACGAAATTTATAGCGCAACTGAAAGTGAATGAAGAACCATAAAGATACTGCTGATAAGCATTTGCATCACATCACAGTTCTACTACTTATTATGAATTAACTCTATATAACATAACTTTAATGCGCGCAATAAGCAGTTACTGTATATTTGACTTGATTGGTCATTGGCTGGATTGCGATGCCGTGGTTACTTAGTGACTTCCTGCAGGAGAGCAGGGAGTCTACCAAGTGATCGAGATCCTCAAGCGGGAGCTTGATAACGTCATGACAAATTCAGGTAATTCCTCAACACCTGGCAAATACGATAATGGCGACTTTGACGCAATCAACGTAATAATTTAATCATCATCGTTACGAAAAAGGTATTTTTTCAATAAAAGCTCTGTTGACTTCAACATTACTGCTAAACCGAGATAGTTGACAAGAATAAATACTAAAAAAAGGGAGAGTAACGGCCTATGCAAATATTGATGTCAATTGTACTCGAGTGTTAACTGTTATCTTACATTGCTCTGAGCGTGGATTGCTATGATAAGAGCAAAGCAATATTGTTCAAGTTCTCTTTTACACTCTTACAGCCCTCTTAAGGCTGCTGTGTCTTTTGGCATTTTTAAACATTGTTTCTTGTGCATTCCCAGATTATAAAATTGGGCCAAAATTTCAATTCATTGGGCATAGAATTTTTTTTTTTTTTTGAGCCAGTCGGAATGTTTCTCATTCCGAGAAGAACACCAACAATACAATGAAGTTAAATAATCCATCATCTTTGAGTAGGTATAAATTTCAAGTTTCACGTGTGCAGGCTGCAGGACAGTGGCCGACATCACCCAAGACATGGTCGTTAGAAAAGACGTGTACTCGAAGCTTTAGGATGCGCAGTAAGTCTATCAGCAACGTCGAAATAATAAATAATTCGATGCGGACTTTGAAATAAAAAAAATTAGGGCGGACAATTTTGCCAGCCTGGTCGATAATTACGAGTACAACAAGACAGCCGTTAATTAAAAGACCTCGAAAGTCGAAATCATTTCCTGCATGCTTTAATGTGACAGGTGTTACTGAAGAAACTTAGTGTGGTCCACGTTCGAGTAGGTGAGTCGTCTGGAGTTAAAAAACGCTTCCTATTAAAAGTTCAAAGACAATGAAGAAGCGATGTTATTTGTAACGCGAGAGCTTCTTAGCGGCAACTATAGTTCACAGCTCGACTACATCGGCTGCGGCCTTATGCTCGGCAGATCAACAGATTGGTTGTTACAAATTGGCGAGCACACTGCATATGTGCACATGCTAAGGCTGCCTTGATTGCAGTAAGAATCACTTTTTCGATGGTTATAAGATGTTTTGAAATTAATTATCACTTCCTTCCCTGGGATAGAACTATTCATCGAAGTTAAATAAACTTGCTATCTAACAACAAAGCCACGCTAACGAAAGTATTTCAAATGGTGACATTGGTAACGGGTGAAACATGAGGTCAGAGTCAATTATTTTCATAAAGCCTGCAGCGGATTCATAGAGAATGTTAACAGGCCGATTCATCTTGAAATTTTACAGTCTGAACTTGAACAGATTCAAATCACTTGTTTGCTTAAATCGCAAGTTAACCAGAAATTTAAAAGCAGAGACAATACCACAAAAATTCACTGATATCTTTGTAAGAGAAAACGTTTCGGAGTCCAGCTCCATCGTCAGTTCATAACACAAAATTCAGTTCAGAAGTTCAGTCCTAGAAACACAAATACAATCAATTAGTAAAGTATATGTAAAATGCACTGTTAGGCTTTAAAACAGAGAATAAATAAATAAGACATGAAATTAACGCTAGTAAACGACCTATCTATTTACTATTTCAAGAGGAAAGGAGCTAAAAGCTGCATTCAGACTAGGCTTCTGTTTGAATATATTGAGGGATTCTAAAATTCGTAGATCAGTAACACCGGATGCGGAAGCTAGAACTTCAAAATCACTATCAGATACAGAGGTGTTGCACTGCTCGGCATGAACAGGTACAGCAGAATGAGGTGGATGTGCAAGTAGGTTCCCCGTTTTATAACTCTTGCCCTTATGCTCAGCCAGCCTAGTATAGAAATTGCGTGACGTCATACCGACGTACGCTGATGCGCACTGGGCACACCTATATCTGTAAACTAGTGGTGATCACATAAGAACAGGTAGGGTATCTTTAAACCTGAAAAAAGGGCCGATTCTAAAATTGTTAACTAGCAACACATGAAGATTTACATCCAGAAGATTCAATAAACTTAGCAAATAAAACATTTGAATCCTTTGACATAGTCTCAGATGCGGGACCAAAGTAGGGAAAAGAAAAGTAAACAACTTTCCTACTGTCACACTTGGGTACAACTGCAGTATATTGCTTGGACATTTCAGAGTGCATGGCTAGGAGGGTAGAGCAAATGCGAAAGCCGCGGTTTATCAATGTTTGGATCCCATTTAATTTGAAACGAAAGGAACAAAAGCTAAAAAGCTGGTGCTTAAGCCAGTAAATGTCGATTTCTAAAAACAGAAGTTTGGAAACGGCCATTAGATTTGGTTACTTTGCAATCAAGGAAAGACAAGCCATTGTTTGATTGATTCAAACTCCATGGTGAATTTGATAGACTTATGTTGAAGATTAAGATCAAAGAAAAGGCATAAATGAGAGGGATGCTTAAAGATCAAAAAGTATCATCAACATATCGGTTATATAGAAAATTGGCTTAAAATCCAGAGGACAATTGGCCAACCATGTAGCCTCGTGAAAACACATGAAACTATTGGCAAATGTAGTGCCGAGTGGAAGCCCCATGCCCAAACCGTCAGTTTGTCTGTAAAACTAGCCAGCAAATACGCAAATTGAGTTTAGCACAGATAATTCAGGAAGAGATTTGAAAAAAAATTTAAAACCCATGACAAGGTTATAAACATCTTTAAACAATGAATTAAGATATCGATGGTTTCAGAAAGAGGTTAATTAATTAATTAAGAGGTCAATTAATTAAGAGGTCAATTAATTAATTAAGAGGTTAATTAATTAAGGTCAATTAATTAAAGAGGTCAATTAATTAAGTAATAGTCAATTCCTGAACATTGGTAAAACTCTTCAGGCAATTTACGAACCTGTAAGTGTTATCCACAGTGGGTATATAGGTTGGTCGAAAGACAGTTCAAAAGCGGAACCAAAAATTTTGCAAGTTTGAAAGTAGGGGTATTATAAGCAGCAAGAATTGGGCGGAATTGAAATTTCACATTGAAATCTGGTTGAAATGACACTTTATTTACGGAATAAGCTGTAAGAAAATATTTGCTCGCTAATTAAATTAAAGAAATCCCATACAGCGAAGGGTGTATAACTTGCTATCTACTCACTTAATTGCAATGAAGAAGTAGGACGAAAGTTTGCACGTATAGAGAGCAGCCGCGCGGCAATCTTGGCGATGTGGATGCACTCAGCAATGCTGGAGCTGTGACTTGAGGGCTCCTCGGATATACCAAGTGTAGCCATCACCTTCGGCATCGTTACATCCGAGGGAAGAACGTCTATGCACTCGCGGTATATTACTTTTATGTCGCACCACTCACGGCAGAATGAAGGTAGCTCACAATTAGTCTTTCCCTCGAGGAATTCTTGGAAATGCCAATTGCCCCATACCGTGATGAGAAAAGACATGGTTTACTTTCGGCCAGAAAGATGTGAGCATTTTCGACGTAGTGAACAGCAACTGAAGGTCGGCGTTATCCTAGCTTTTTCGTTAAAATTAATTTTCAGAATTGAATTTAATGGCGCTGGTTTTATGCCAAAAAATAGTAACGGGAAGTTCATGTCTTGTAAAAGCTTGATGACAAAGTATTGAAAGTGCTAGAACAACCATAGTCAAATTTGATATCCATGCCCGAAAGACAAAACAAAAAGTTTGATGACATAGTATTGAAAATACTAGAATAAACAAAGTCGGACTAGAAATTCATGTCCCGTAAGAGTTTAATTGCAAAGTACTAAAAAACGCTAGAATAATTAGTTAGTTTGTTTAGTGGCCAAATGTTTACTAGCGCTTCAGCTATTTAGCTATCTCGCACCGAAAGTCAAGATGAACATCACCAAAGAGATGGAAGGTCTCAGTTATCGAAAGTTTCTCAAATCAAATATCTTTCATCACCCACAAGGGGCGGAAGGTCTGAATTGTCCAGCCCGCTGAAGCTGGGTCAAAAGAAGCAGCGTTAGCATCTCAAAGAGACGAAGTGACAAGGTGGGACAGGTTAACAGCAACAGAAACGAAGACACTCGAACAAGAGTTCGCTTACACGGGACGTCGGCCGCCCGCACGACTCACGAGAGAGACAGAGAAGGGAAATGTAAGGAATCCTACCTACATAATAACTTAATGTAAAGAATCCTACCTACACAATAACTTAACCCCACAACTGAGACCTGCAGACAGACACCGCGAGCTCAGCGGTGGGGCGCTCAGGAACAATCCCTCTAGGAGCGCAAAATCCCATAGGACTTCTAACGAGCACAGACACGCGTCAGAAGTCCCCCCTGACGGTAAACGCTAGAATAAGTATATAAACGTAAATTCTATTTCTTTGCATCAACTCTGTGGCTGCATAATAATCATTCAAAATCGCGTTATTGAAACTACGATTTTTTTTGTTTTTGTTGATCAAAAAAATTTCAACCACTCACAGATGTTACAAGCATAGGAATATCATCAGGAGCTTGACTTTAGATCATCCAGGGGTACATTTAAAGACATTTTTCCGATCTCTTATCGACAGCCAACAGCCAAATTCATTAAATATTGGTTGAAAGTGTCACTGCCACATCATGCACGTTTCGACATATTGTAGATTTCATTCAATATCCAAATATTAAGAATTCTAGACCAAAATTAATGATGGGCTTGTACATAAAAATCAAGCTGCTTCAACGTAATCTCTATTCTAATCGTGATTCATTGACGCATACGTTTGTAGAAAAGCTTAACTCAGGGCATGTTTTGCAACTATTTCTAATTGAAACAATTTCACATCGATATTCTGAACAAAACCGTCTTCAGAAATCCACGCTGCTCACAATATTTTATGCAAGTACAAGCCTCTGTAAGATGCGAGCGACAATAAACGACGCAGTAAAACCAGTTGGTCGGGAACAGTTGCCGGGAGAAGTCTCTGTCTTGAACACAAGACTGCGGGCTCATCCACAGCCAGAAAAACTAAATTGCGATAGCTTTTAATGCAATCCGACGTAATCGTGATAAAAGATACTGGTGATATCTAATTCGACTAATAACAACTTATTCAGCTCTCATTAGTCCTTTGGAAGCGAAAAACAAGTGATATGTCCCATGTGATAAGATACAAGAGCCAACTAATCTAGAGTGAGACCACAAACACAGAGAGTTGGAGGCGGTAAGCTCCAGGGTAGCCGAGTCCTTATAGTGAAGCACACTTGACTATGTTTGTGGAAAGTAATTAGCTGGAATAGCAGAGATTCCGAGTGCTGCGCCTTGGCGGAGTTTAACAGATGAGTGCAAAGAAAAGTTTTTGTACTAACAACCGAACTGAAGTTCCAAAGAAAACGAGAAGGTTATTAAAAATAAAAGGACAAAATGAAAAAAATGATCGCCGAAAAATCGAAGCCCAGCAAAGAGGAACCACCAGGTAAACGGTTTTATTCAAATTTAATAATGTTTACTATTTGTTATGGTATATATTAACGTATAAAAATCGCTCATATCCTACAGCAAGAAGCGTTTTCCCAGTCAATGTAAGTGCACAACTAAAAAAATTATTCTGAAATAAACACAACAGCTACACAGCGTTAAAATTAATTTTTCTTACCGTAACTTTAAGTAAAGGAAATTTAATTGAATTTGTAGAGCGCTCTTTGCAGGCAGTTTTTTATTCCAGAAATGAGAATCAGCAGCGCTCACAAAGTTATTAATGTGAACAACCTTTATATAGTACATCCTACATGGAGTAAATTTACACAGAAATTCTCAGTGCACGCAACGATTATATTATACTGGACGAATACAGATAAAGGTAGGATAGTAAGTAATTTCGGTTGCTTGCAGTGGACGGCAGGCTGGTATGCGTGCAAGACTTCGCGACGGCGGCAGCCGCCAGACTGCCGCTCATGGCCCTCGACTACTACAGATCAGGAGCAACCTCGCAAGTCACGCTCATCGAAAACCGCCGTGCCATGAGAAGGTAATCACTTGACCGGAGTGAGAAATGTGGTATTTTCTTATGTTGAGCAGTTAAAAATAATGACCAATATAGTGAAGCAATGAGGCTTACGTTAGCGGAATTCATATCACGCACGGTATCTAAGTTATATAAGACATCTCATTATCACCCGATTTGAAAATGCAGAAATAAGCTACGCACTTTGGCATCATACACGAACATGAAATGAAATGAACCCAGCTGAAGTTAGACGAATTCGTTCTGGTACAATTCTGGTATCCTCATTTGGCATTGACCAGACTTCATGAATGGACCTACAAAAACGAGACTATCCTTGCAGATGGTACATTCTACCGCGCCTGTTGCGCGACGTGTCTACCCGCAGCCTCGGCACAAGCGTCTTCGGGCACTCGTTGCAGCTCCCAATAGCAATTGCACCCACAGCCTTGCAAAAGATGGCTCATCCTCTGGGCGAGTGCGCTTCAGCGTCAGGTGTGTCATCAACCAGTCCCTCATTAGGCAAGTAAGAAGCGTGTCTCCCCATAACAATTGCACCTACAGTCTTTCAGAAGATGGCTCATCCTATGGGCGAGTGCGCTTCAGCGTCAGGTGTGTCATCAACCAGTCCCTCATTAGGCAAGTAAGAAGCGTGTCTCCCAATAACAATTCCGCCCACCATAGTCAGGTGTATGTGCTCTCGGTAACATATCAACAAGATACAACTTGCTTCAAATAGGTAAGATAATAGGTAATAACCAGACAATATGTAGGCTCCGGCATCACTCTCATATACAAACTCCAGTACCGGTATATAAAAAATAGATTCTTGAGAAGCTTTTCATAATTGTTGTAAAATATATAGTGATGTGGCACATAAATAGTGTGATTTTAAATAAAACTATCACATTTTTAACATGGGCCAATGAAAATGTAACTGCAAACCCCTGGCAAACTTCAATACCATTTGAAACTTATTCACTATAAAAGTCAATTTTGAGAGTGCATATAATCTTCCTTGATTGTTATAGAATTATTTTCTTAGGTATATATTAAAAAAACACACAAATTGCATCAAGTCAACATATTTGCTAACTTGGATTTCTAATGGAATAAATAAAATGTATTCTTCCTACTAAGTTTCAGCATTCAAACAGATCAAAGACGGCAATACGTGGATGTGACTGATGGAGTGACAATGGAAGAAATAGTCGATCATTGCGAGCAGTAATACTGATTAGTTGGAGTGGACACAGAAGGAATTTTATGGGATACATTAATGCAGGACGATATCGCAGGAACTTAGTTCATTTTGTAGCCACAAAAAGAGGATCTTCACTTGAAAGTCAATTGAACATAATGTTGTAGGAAATCATTTGAATTGTACCTATGGTACTTTCTATATTTCTTATGTATAAACTGTAATTAATGCAGTAATACTGCAACTGTAACCTGACTGTACTTGCACGACACAGCGGCTGGGCGCCACGGAACAGTGTTCACACTGAGCACCATAGCCACGAGCAGTATTGAAGAAGTCGCCCGCAGTGCGCCTAACGCAATCAAGTTCTTCCAGCTCTACATTTACAGAGACAGGCATGTATCTTAATATTGAAACCTTCCTTTTTATTGTTGGAAGCTCGAGGAATGATACTTCTATAGCCTGAAATTATTTCAACGCCTCAGAAAAATCATGAACTGAGAAAAAAAATCAAGTAAATTCTCAGATAATTCTCAACCAAATCCTATCACAGCGTCTACGAGCATAATAAAATATTTATCTTCGTTAAATATGATAAGAGTAATACATGCCCATAAAGGGAAAAAAGCTGGACAGTGATCATCTAAAATATTCTATTCGTCACCGTGACAACATAACGTTAGCGGTCACGCCTATTCCTGACTAATGTTCAAGCACCTTCTGTTCGTCACAGAGCGAGATAACGTTAGCGGTCACGCCTATCCCAGTCTAATGTTCAAGCACCTTCTGTTCTTGGACATCAGGGCCAGATAACGCTGGTTGTCACAACTATTCCTTCAAGCGCAGGTCGCTGACGGAGAAGTTGGTGGAGCGGGCGAAGGCAGCAGGCTTCAAGGCAATCGTGCTTACAGTCGATGCGGCAACATTTGGTATCAGAAGGGCTGATATTCGCAACAACTTCAACCTACCACCTCACCTCAAGTACGTGGCACCCAGAGTGTAATTCAATTTTAATAACGAACTGACTAGCTCAAACTAAAACATCTGAAACTAAATGAAGGTCAAACTGATAAAGAACAGTGCAAATGTCACTCCCTCATTAACCCTACAGTGGACGCGTGGATTACAAATGTAATACCGTAAATGCCTACGAAAATCGACCGTAACTAAACCGACCTAAAAGGCGACCAATCTGGTCAGTTTTTTGCAAGCGGCCACTGAAGGGTTTAATTCAAACAGGGACCAATGCCTAAATTTTAATTCATTTCCAACCAAGGTTGGCCAACTTTGAGAGCACTTCAGACGAAGGAACTCTGGGTGACCGAGGGACTGGTAATTCTGGTATCAATGAGTACGTCAAGGACAATTTCGATGCCGGCATCACGTGGCAAGACCTGAAGTGGCTCATCAAGTGAGTATGTGGACAACAGGAAACGGAGCACTTGGTTAATGAGAGAGCAATTAAAGACATTGACAAAATATACGCGCATATTGTTCAAGTTATTAGCTATTTACTTCGAAAAAAAGCAATTATTAACCTTTGCAAAGAAATTGCCAACTCAAAAACGGCACGCTGGTTGATAATGACCAGCATCTTGACAAATTACGGTGTTCATTCTCAACGCTAAACCTAGCATGTAATGCACGACACATTAAACAATTTTCGTTTTGAACCTGAAATTGTGTGATAAGATTTGCGATGCCGTGGTTACTTAGTGACTTCCTACTGCAGTGTGACGACGCTGCCTGTTGTGGTGAAGGGGATCCTGACTTCGGCTGACGCGAGCCTCGCTCTACAAGCTGGAGTAGCTGCGGTGTGGGTGTCAAACCACGGCGCACGCCAGGTCGATGGCGTTCCCCCTACGGTGCGCCTTTCATAATGCCTTTTACACATCAATGATCCTAGCTAAAGTTATAAGTTACTTCAATAATTCCTCGTATATCTTTTAATTATGATCTTATTGACGTTGAACGTGTCCGGCGCGCAGATCGAAGCCTTGCCCCACGTGGTGGCAGAGGTAAACGGCCGGTGCCCGGTGTTCGTGGACGGCGGCTTTACTGATGGATCGGACATTTTCAAAGCTCTGGCGCTGGGAGCATCTCTCGTAAGTTATGGAAAATATTATATTTTCTCTATTGAACTATCTTCATTTGTTACGTTGATAAATTGTCAGCAAAGAACGGGATGAATAATGCGTAATTACTCAAGTAGTACGAATTTTGTCAAGGTTTTCATTGGTCGACCGGTGCTGTGGGGACTCGCGTGCGCAGGAGAGCAGGGAGTCTACCAAGTGATCGAGATCCTCAAGCGGGAGCTTGATAATGTCATGACAAATTCAGGTAATTCCTCAACACCTGGCAAGCATTTGACGGAGCCAGTAGGGTCATATAAATATCTAACGTAGAGAAAAATAATGATATGCCCCACAGAGATTGGGCTTGTGTGCGCGATAAGCGAGAAGAAACTAGAGTGCGGACCGGTTTCCGAGTATTGATTCCGAGTAGGTTAGGCGTAAGTTGCCGGACAACGTGGACGTTGAGAGATTCTTCATGTTGATTCAAATTCAAATCATTTCAATATAGATTTAATTATTTGATTTAAAATTAAATAACGAATACAAATTCATTGAAGCAAAGAGTACCTATACGTTATGCGTGAATAAGATTAGGAAAACAAGAACCTATTAAAGTAAATAGAATGACGGTAGAAATTTTGATCTTATGTCTTCCCTCAATTGCGACAGGCTGCAGAACGCTGAGCGACATCACCCGAGACATGGTCGTGCGAAGAGACCAATTCTCGAAGCTGTAGCAGATAACATGGGCACCACCGCATCGAATTAATAAATATTACAATGAAAAGATTGTTTGCTGTGAAAACAAAAAATGCAATGAAGTTCTGTCAACATATAGAATTAGAAAGTTTAGCAGTGAGATAATTATGCTGCGCTTTATGTTCCCCGGTTGAATTTATTTTGTTCGAGAAAATAGTTAATGTTATATCTCAAGCAATAAAATGTTAGAATGATGCACCGGAGTAGCATGAACACCTGATTAAAGTTTATGCATATGTTGCATAGGACAATTTTTGAAGTGGATAATAACACGATCTATTCAGAGTGAGCTGCTGTGAGCAGAGTGTACAAGCTATGGTGAATATTTCGAAGAATTGAAAGAGAAAACAAGCAATTAATAACAAACTATTTACTCACCTATCTCCAATGAAAAAGTAGGACGAAAGTTTGCACGTATAGAGAGCAGCCGCGCGGCAATCTTGGCGATGTGGATGCACTCAGCAATGCTGGAGCTGTGGCTTGAGGGCTCCTCGGATATACCAAGTGTAGCCATCACCTTCGGCATCGTTACATCCGAGGGAAGAACGTCTATGCACTCGCGGTATATTACTTTTATGTCGCACCACTCGCGGCAGAATGAAGGTAGCTCACAATTAGTCTTTCCCCCGAGGAATTCTTGGAAATGCCAATTGCCCCAAACCGTGATGAGAAAAGACTTAAGGTTTGTTGTCGGCCAGAAAGATGTGAGCATTTTTGTCGTAGTGGACAGTAACTCAAGACATGTGTATTCCAACCCCTCGTCTTTGCAGTTATCTTCAGATGGCAATTCGAAAGTGGGTCTCTTTTCACCGATTTCATTGGTGACAAAATCATCTTGATCAGGAAAATTGTCCACCAGATCTCCGAGATTAGATATACATTCGGAGCTTGATGTCAGTGGACTAGCTGTGCTAGAAAGATCATCATCGAATGCCGCATCAGCAAAGGGTTCCATGTTGATAAACTCAACTCCGTTGGTGTTTTCTTGCTTCAACTCTCGAATAATACGCTCATCGGGTGAAATGGGTGAATTTTTCCCACCTTCATTATTCATAGAAAGCCTCACCCATAAATCGAAGGTTTTAATGACATTTTGGATGGAGTCAGCTGCTTGAACATTACTATTGCATCGAGAGAATGTTTTAGAAATATTTTTGTGATCATTAGGCAGACAACCCCATTCATGAAACATTGACTCTACTTGCAAGCTCTCACAATTGAGGATTAGAGCCACCATTTCAAGAAAATTCTCGGAGCTGTCACTTGTTCTGTGGTTCTCAAGTGGAGCCTTAAAAGTGTTTACATTGACAACAAGGAAATGACTGAAGTCTGAAGGGGCAACCATTTCCTCAACCTGAAATGCAAAAGTATGCATTAAAATACAATAATATTTTCAACAAAAAATATACTTTAAAAATGTAAAGACAGAAAGACAATCAGTTCTGTGGTATCAAAGTGTCTACGTATGTCAAGTTAACCATAAAGAGAACAAAAATAAGAAAACACAAATAAATAAAATATTCCTCACTGCCATAGATGGCATGCAATTATGAGTAACACAACTCTGACTTTCCAACAAAAATATACACAATTCATAGCACAGCCTGTGGGTTGTCTAGGTCTATAGCATACGTAATATGAAGATATTGATATCACCAAAAAATTACTTTTTAACTTTGACTGAAATGGATTTTTAAAGATTCTTCATTATAAATTTCCATATTTCCACAAAAAAAAATAACAATATTGATAAGATAATTATTATTATTAAGATTATAGGCATATATATTCACTTTAGAAAGATGCAATAATTTTTAGCTGCTATGGAGATCCTGTCAACATATATTGCATGCTACTGGACTACACCTTAACATGAGCAGAGGTGGCCATGCTTCCATTGAGATGATACACTCACTCCACACTTGATCCAATCTGAAAAGGCAGATATAATTAATAATTGCAATGTTTTGATTTTCAAAGTCAGTTTACTGGCACACCAGGTTTCAAAAAAAGGCCTCAAAATAATTAAAAATCATTTGAAAGATGCCACAGGTACATGAGAGAAGTAAGTAGGCAATAAATATTACTATGACTTCCTGCAAGAATTTCCCCAATCCTCAGGATAGTGACAGATACAGGGGAGTGCCACATGCTTCCTGCATTTGGGTAAGAAGTTAAATATCACTATACCCGGTGATCACTATACCCGATGATCACTATACCTGGTGATCACTATACCCAGTGATCAATATACCCAGTGATCATTATACCTGGTGATCATTATACCCGGTGATCACTATACCGGGTGATCATTATAACCGGTGATCACTATACCCAGTGATCATTATACTTGATGTTCACTATACCTGGTAATCATTATACTTGATGTTCACTATACCCAGTAATCATTATACCTGGTGATCGCATTTCTTGAGTATATTTCTACTTGAGTATTTGAGTGCATTTCTTTTCCATGCTTTATGAGTCCATGGTGGAATTCCAGGAAGTGGTTGGTCATTTAGCTCCACCACAATAACACTTGATGCCAGGGGGAGTAAAATTTGAGGGCAGTGCAACAGTGGTATATAATTCTTGAGGAAATGGCAATGATCCAGGGTGCAGAAAGTTGGTGAATATCAAAAGATTATTGGCGATGCATCAACAGCAAAATTTACACCCTCAGAAGATCTTGCCAACACATTTGGATTAAAATTTTTACATTTTCAAAATTACCTACTTTGAAATTATTGCAAATCTGGAAGACCTCAAGCACACACAGTAAGAATCCAGGTACATCGGATGGATCAGGATGGATCTTGAAAATGACGACGGATCTTGAAAATGGCTGTTGATGCTTTAGGCTAAAAATCCATATAATGGCATTTGGCAACTCTGCTTGCACCCTCTGCACCCTGGGCAGTGATTTGAGTACTGGGACACTGTAGTGCACTTGTCCAGGGCGTGTGCACCTATTTCGGCAGGCACACTCCTAAATTAGATAGGTAGGGTAAACGCGGTATATTCCGACACATTAAGGATTAATGACTATGGCAACAAAAGGAGTTATTTTGTAGACTAAATTGAGACATTTGTTTAAATATTGAATACTAAAATAATAGTAATTCTGTGAGAAGGCTCAAGCCTCAAGGTCTCCAAAATCCAGTTAAGGGTCAACTGCTTTCCTGTGTAATTCCGTGAGAATTGTAAATTATGGTACTAAGTACTGAGTAAGTAGTAAGTAAGTATGGTAGTCCTTTTAGTTTTCAATTTTCATCACCATGATCACCTTGAATTTCCAGTTGGGGCTAAAGTGAGTGCTGACTGGCAACTGCTAATGACTTGTGTGGGCCGGTGGTCACTGTGGAAGTGTGGTGTGCATCATTCTGCGCGCGGAATGATGATTTACATTAAGCAAGTGATTGATTCACTCTATTTCATCACTCGACACTCTGCAGTCTGCACTATTTGTATTAGATAGCTTTTAGGCTTTTAGGCTTTTATCTGTATTAGATAGCTAACTATCTGTATTAGATAGCTAACTAGGCTATAGAAGTATAAGTTAAATCTTGTGAAAATTCTTATAGTCTTGTTTTAAGCATTTTTATCTAACAACTTTTATACCTACTCCGGGCTACTTTTTCAATAGAATGCAGTTATACAGACTCATTGCAGAGGAGATATGCATTGTTTTAGTGGTAATTTTATAACATAGGATAATGAAAACCCTTTCTTTACAATTTACATTCTGCAAAATTTCCTGAATTTGTTCAGCCACAGCTGCACAGTATTCCATTAATAATTTGTTTGCCTGGAATGCCAATTTGCCAAATGCCTGCTACTGCTTTGCCACTTCAGCATCTGAAGCAGTGAAGCTTTTAATTACCTATTACATCCTTGCCCCTTGGGCGAGTTGGGTGGTTGGGCCCTTAAAAGTATGGAGATTTGAGTTTGGACCTTTACTTCTTGAGGCTTTTCAGTCTTCCCCACCAACTTTGGATGTGTTTGGAATAAACATGCATGTTGCATCCCATCGCAATGATCGCATGAATAGGTATGATGATAGCAGACTAGCAGTTGCCAGTTATTCGATAAGGCTCCTCAAAAACAGCAACACAAACTTGTTGCTGAATGTTCTCTGTCAACTATTCAACATACCCAAAATCAAAAGCCAAAAACATTCATTGCCTCAACAGCCGGGCAGGTTGGCAACCGGCTACACATACAACAGTTACAACTTACCTAACTAATTAGCCTCGAAACAGTTGGCTCACCTAATGTCCTCAACCTACAACATTTGAACCTCAACGCAAGGCTCAAGCTGACTGCGTCACTCACTTCTATGTCAGTGCGTGTGTGAAACTGAATCAGTGAATGAGTGAGTGAGAGCGTGGACTCGAACTCCCGATCTAATCTAAACACCCCCGTCCCACATCACCCAAGTACTTAAAAAACAAGTTGCATAGGCATATAAAAATTTTAAAATAATACAGAGGCCTCTTTAACAGTACCAGTAATACTGACCATGCTCACCAAATCATTTAAAAGGATGCCAAGTAACTTTTTTCAACACCAACTCTCCCACGGATAAAAAAAACACTGTCAACCAAACGGGTTTAGACGTGTTAAAACGATGTTCAAAAGTTTAAAACTCAAATTTAACGATTTAGTGAGGGATTTTATTTAAGTATTTACCGTGAACCTTTGCATTCAATTTTTATTTATTGAATGATAGCATATATATCATCCATCACTGAGGCATCACATAGTATTTGTAGCAAACGAAGACGTTTTGTTGACCTTCCTTCTTGATCCTGCCAGAGGCCAGCTCTGCCATCTTTCCGCTTGAATTCATATTCTTTTGCGTTGGCATGCACTACATACACTACAAGGCATAGCAGCTAATGAAGTCGAGTACCTTCTCTGGCAGCCAATGAAGCCTTACCCGTGGTTGAATTAACCATGGCCTTACCCACTAAGGCTGGAGAGTTGGTTCTTGAACCGGTTTAGTTCCATGGCTTTTTTAATAATAATAGCGGTTTCAGCGTTTATTAGGCCGTAGGCCTGTCGCCGATTCTTAACATCGAAGAACATTCGCAGCATTTTGCTGTCTCGAACTCGCAATTCGCTGCTTCAATTTTGCTTTGCTTAACCGCCCGGCCTCCTCGCCGATTCTGAACCGAGTTATGCGTGCCAGAGTTGAAAATTAAGTTAGGTTTTCCGTATCAAAAAAAAAATTATTGATGAAAAATTTTGAAAAAAATACCCTCCGCAGCGTACTGATATTATCTACTTATATTTCAAATTTGAAGAAAATCCGTCCATTATTGACGGAGTTATGCGTGCCAGAGTTGAAAAAGATGTGTATAAGAGACAGCTTCTAGGAGATAATCGGCCAACGCACATGTAGTTTGGTTATACAATGTTTTTTTTCATTGACACAACCTGCAAGAAATGTCCAAACTGCCACAACGACAACCGCATACTAGCTGCAAACCATCCGTACCATCAACAAAAATACAATACAAAGTGTAATCAGCACAATTATTCAATCAAAAACAAAATAAAACAAATAAACATACCTAGAAGCAATCAAACAAAGAAACATACCTATTCATAGCCTGCCGCGGACTGACTGGACACTATTAACACTGACAGCAATAATACTCGAAGCACAAATCGCCAGCCTCTCCCGACAGGACGAGTGGGACAGTATTGAAGATGTCTCTTATACACATCTAGATGTGTATAAGNCTAGACACAGCTTCTGGCAGATCGTGTATAAACGCAACCAATAAAACAGGCCAGAGAACGCTTCCTTGTGGCACGCCGCTGCGCACTGAAGCACACACAGTCTGATATGGTCCCATTAATATTGGCACGTTGTTGTCTCCCTACTAGAAAATCTCTGATCCATTTGAGTACATTACTCTCAATTCCCAAAGACTTCAATTTACGCAACAGCCACTCACGTGGGACACTGTCAAATGCCTTGGCAAAATCGAGGTAGAAGAATAGGCCTATCATCGGCGTAGAAGAATAGGCCTGGATAGGCCTGCCGCCGACTTTTGTACTTTTCGTGACAGATCTAAAATTGATCAAATGTTTCAACGGATGGTGGTTTGAAAATGTACAACTACTATAAAAATTGAGTATATTAGTTTTAATTGAAAACTAAATAATGTAAAAATATGTAATTTTTCATTTCGCAGGGCATTGATAATATTTACTTAATATTTAATGCAGATCCGATCAGTATTGATGGACTTGTGAGTTGTTCGGTTGATCGAAATAAAAGTTATTGCGTTTGGGTCCGAAGCGAGTTCACAGGGCGGGGCCGGAGAAGTTTCGATTCGGTCCCTCACCCCCGTATCATCGTCTCGTGATAATTGTTTCCATCTCTCATGCAGACCGCACTCTTCACTCACTTAAATGGCACCTAACTTCAAATTATACTTTTTCAAATTAACCTAACAGGCCCAACATTTCCATAACATTTTATTAAGAACAGAAAAGAATAGAAGTGTCGGCACTGTAGAAATAGGCCCATGGCCTGTTGCCGATTCTTGTACTTTTCGTGACTCGATTCACAAGGGATCCGGCCTTTGGAGCCCGTTCTTTCTATAACTGTCGATTGATTGAGATAGCTGCTGGACTTATTGCCTGGTCCATAAGTTGCAAATTTTAAGACTGAACATATGCTTCTGCAAAGATTCGTCTAGTCTGTTCTTGAAGGCGTTTAGACTCGGAGCGTCAACCCTGCTGTCAGGGAGGCTGTTCCTCATGTCGGTGACTCGAAGCGAGAAGAAATGTTGTCGCATGGATGTGTTACAACGCAGTTTTTTAGTTTATAGCCGTGGCCTCTGGTGCTGGACTTATTCTGCGTCTGAAAGGCGTCGGAGCAATAATTTAATCCAAGTAATAGTGCAGACTTGACGCCTACTCCATAATTCGACTTAGTTCAAATGTATTTCTCGCATTTAATGCATTAACATAACATAACATATTGATCTCGGCGCTGAAGTGTAGGCCTGATGTGGCCTGTCGCCGATTCTTTTCCTTTTCGTCACTTGTTCACAGAAGATCTAATATCGTTTCATTTGACCGGATCTTTTCATGATTGACGATACTTTGAAATAGCTACTAGACTTCCACCGGGTTCGATATGGTGCTAGGCATTTCAAATCTGAACATATATTTTTCCATAGCTTTATCTAGTCTGTTATTGAACGCATTCATACTTGGAGCGCCATCGATGTTATTATTGGGGAGGCTGTTCCACATGTCGGTGATTCGAAGTGAGAAAAAATTTTGTCGCGTGGAGAAGTTAATTGCAGCGCAGTTTTTAGCGCATTTTCTCATTTATAGAAAAAATGTAACTCAGTACTCACTGCAGTGAGTGACAGAGAGCGCATTTTCTCGTCGACGAAAACTTGAGGTCACGGACAGACGGACGGACAGACAGACGGACGGACGGACATGGCGAGCACAATAGTGTATGATGAAGTGCCACCACCGACTATACGCGCGTCCAGCTGAATGACCTGAATGCGACAGGAAGTCAATCGGACACCGCTCGCGTGTCTGTCTATCCAAGCTTCAATTTCATTGAGATCGCTGGGTCTCTCAATATCATCTACTTTCTCGCCAGCTTTGAGAAACTTCAGAAAAACTCGGTCAGAAGAACTTTCGATTAGAGTTCATCTGGGCTCGAAATATTGATGTGCTTCGAGCCGCAATAGCGTCTTTTAAGTCTACGTAGCCTCCATAAACAGCCAGACCAAAATTACCATTAAGGAATGCTTACATAAATTTAATGATTGGTGATTACACGGCTAACAAATCAATCTGAATTTTAAAAATCTCTATCAAAATATGCAGTAATTAATTCCAATGTCTATGATCTCATTTTTGGTACCGTAAGAAATTTTTGCAAGGTTTCATTTATATATTATAATGTTGCGAGGCTTTGGCTCTTGGAATCCTTGGTTTCTTCATGGAAGACCAATGAGATTTAAATTAGAATATGAGGAAAATTTTTAATCAAGCTACCTGATGTATGTGCTGAAATTAGAAAAGTTCCGTGTTAAATAAGTTCGCATCGATTTCCGAAATCTGTGGAGTTTTATGATTCACGGAATTTTGAAGTTATACGGAGGGTAAATCAGGAGCTTGCAGAAAACTTGCTGCTAAGTATTCGAACTGCTCGCACGCAAAGCTATTGAAGCCTATCTATCGGTGTTCAAGTTTCAATTAAAATAACAAATACCAGTAATATTTCAACAGCTAACTTAATGTCCCAAGATGATCTTTTAATTGGTCATTTAGATCTTTACTTTTAATGCATTTCCAGAAAGAACATTTAAAAATTATCGTATTTTGAAGCTAGCTGATTAGATGAAAATTATCAGTAATATTAACTATTATTTCGTAATAATAAATGTAACGATTTTACAAGATGGATCCCTTCTTTATTGAGTTACGTAAATAATTACTCACAATGCAAATTTTAGTTTTTCAAATAAAATTTTCCGAAATTAAAATTAATTTTTTTGTTTATGCGCAGCTTACTTCTGTCAGCTTAATAATGCTTGGTTTAAAAAAAATAAGCATCAAAATGGAGAACAAATTAAGAGAAACTTGCTCTCGGGAAAGCCGGATTTGAACGAAAAATGACAAGCTTTCCGCATGGTCGGAACAGAGGTGCGAGCCTGAGACTCACGCAGTGGACGGTGTAGCATCGCTGTGCTTTCTTCTGCGCACGAACGCTACTGGCAAGCAACGAATATGAAGGATGGAGAGAATTATCGTTTTGATCTTGCGATGAGTGAGATCATAATGTAGAAATTTGGAGAACAAAATAAGTATTTACTTTCTCAAATAAATTCCTAGCAAGCGAAAATTGTTAGCACGAACTTGAAAGTTTATCAGTACTGAAATTGAAGCCTAGTACAGAAATCGAAATTTAGGAGCGAATCTTCAGACTAGTTTCATTTAGCCATAAAACATATTATGAACATCAATTATTTACTCATAAAAAGTGAGCTGTGAGTTAATTTGAATGCTTGAATTCATTCTTAGTTGCGTTCTCAAGATGTTTGCTTAAACATTTAACTACGAGTGTCATATTCGAATGCGTCTATCGTTTGAAGAACCAAACACCGGCGACCAGGCTAGCAGCGCGCGTCCCACATTCAAACAAGGGCGCTGTGAAGCCTCTCTTTAGAATCATCCAGAGCAAACAGAGCGTTAAGTATGGAGGGGCGAGGGAGGCTTATGTGTCTCAGAATAACGTGCTTCTTCCCTAATTCTATCTGTGCAGCTGAGCGTCAACACAACATAACGAATAAATTGAGTACGCAACGCGAAATATACGCGCGTAACAATGCAAGTGTTTGTGAACAATGGCAAATATATGC